ATCAGCATTAAGTGCTTAAATTAAGTAAAAATTTAAAATATTAATCAATTAAACGATGTAACATTTGATAATACTTAAGTTATGAGTGAAAGAACCCTAGAACATTCTGTGCTCAAAAGTATAAATAATGTTGAGAATACCTTGACAACATTCGGTTGAAAGTGAATGTATAATTTAACAATGCACGCATGAAACCTTCAATATAACGTATAAGAAAAACCTGATAGTAGGGTGTCTTCTTTCACAGCATTCCCATCTTCCTATCCAGAACGAGAATCATCATTGTAAATCTAGCTACAAGTAAGCTAGGCGGCTAGCATACCAATGTTCTGTGTTCCCTCGATGAAACCGTTGAACTCCGGACGATATAACCCTCTGTGTACAACTGTTGAAATCCTGGGTCAACAATCCCTTGGGTCAAACTGTCGTCGAATCCTGGGCTAACAACCCCCTGGGTTAAACCCTTAAAATATTACAAAGAAAAATGTCAATACACATTGACTCAAGTATCCCGAACTATAGGATTACCCAAAAATGTACATAAACTAGAAAATATTCAGTATCTAGGATAAAGAAAAACTACATTGGCTCAACAGTGAGTCATAAACAGTATTATGAGCTCCAATAATTAAAATTCTGTTACACATGGTTGGTAACATAACCTAATATATACAAAACATACCTTTTTCGTAAAGGGTTAACTTGGTAGCCTTTCAAGGATGAGAACCACGTGAGATGATTCACAGTACAACAATATTCCACACTCCAAATGCTGTGAACTCCCGATTATTGCGTTAAAATCCTATATTAGATATGGGCTGGACCAATGACCATGGGAATTTACCAATTCACTAAAATTCCCCTCAAAATACGAAATGTCCATTTACCCACAATTAACCATGAAATAGAATCTAAAATCCCCTTTAATTAGGGTAAGCCGATGGGGCTAAATATTAAGAAAATTCTATTTCGACACAAAAATCGTCTCTCGTGACTGAATACCCACTGACAGAAAAAAAAACAATACGTCAGCCGTCCAAAATGGCCGAAATCCCTTTCCGATAAATGTCAAGTGGGTTCAGAAATTCATCCTCAAGAATTCCCCACTATATAACTTAACAGACCATTTACGAAAGGTACCCTAAAAACTATATTTATATACAGTATAACTACATTGGGAAACTGTTCCCGACAAAAAATTAACACAACAGCGATCGCAAAACAAAATCCCTCACGACTTAAAATCGCTCATTGTGAAACTACCTTACCTCGGGTTCTGAGCCCGATATTGGAACGTACTACAACCATGACACTTGTAAGTGTTCTGTCGTCAAATGACGTTTATGTCATTCACTGTCACAATTAATAAACATTAACCTAACCAAAAATAAACAAGAAAATCTTAAAGAATGGTATCGTAAATAATTAATTACCCAAAGGTGAGACTATAATACATAATATGTATAAATTTACAACGGAACTTGGTCTATTTTTAGGAGAATCTGGCAAATTAAAACAGGGAACACTACACCACAAATATGACCAATGTACAAAGTATTATACTAGTGGTGAGATGGAATAAATTGTAATAATGATGTCAAAAAGTTAGAATACAGGTGAAATTAGTTAATGACAAAAATAATAGTGATATCATCAATACGATTTTACCCTTTTTTTTCGTATGATTAACCAGGTAAGCCAAAACAATTTTATTAATTCGTGGGGCCAAAAATGAACGTTACACAACTACTACTATTAGACATTTTAAATAAGTGACATTTCTGTCAAACTAATTGTCACTATATTTTTTAGTTTTTAAGATTAAATATACATTAAAATTAGTTATTTTTGTGTGTAGAATTGATAAATAATAGGATTTATATTTTTATTTGGTCCACATTTTGAAAAAATAAAATAATATAATAATAATAATAATAAATTGCCATTATTTGCTTGTAATATACAATGCACATAAACATCATGAGGCGTCTAGCTTGCGCTACTCAACTTAACCTCAGCATAAATATAAATTTAAAATAATCAAAAGGTATCCATCATTTACAATATAAAAAAAAATAAGAAATTTAATATACAATTAATTTATGATTAAAAAATGTTAACCCTGTATTTAATCTAAACTGAAATCAATGGAACTTAAAATACAATTAAATAAGGAAAAATGTTTGAAATTAATAATATATTAACGGTAGCACTGTATTCATTGCTCAACTAATAGCAACGTTTTATAATTTTGTTTTAAAAATGTCAGAGAACATGTCCTAATTTCCCTAGGTAGACTGTTATATATTGAAATGGCGTTATATGTGAAAGATCTTTTGAAAAATGATAATCGGTAATTCGGAATCGTTAAGTTGTGTGTATATCTCAAATGTAAATTGTGCAGGTCTCTCCGATATATCAATTTATTTTTTAAGTATATGGGAGTTGAGGTTAAAAGAATTACGAGTATTAAAACAAAATCCTAGAAGTGGCAGTGGAAAAGAGGATAAAGCGTCTGCCTTCCACGCGAAATGCCGAGTTGTAATCTGGACTGGGGACTAATTAAATTATTCTTTTTTCATGTTTATTTTATAAATTAGTAAAATTCATAAATTATTTTTAAATTAGTTTTTTGTCTTTATAATCTAAAATAATTTTTTAAATTTATATATTTTTGTTAGTGGGTCGTAGAAAAAATATACTGTAAAACTTTAGTGGATTGTCCATATCCTCTCTTGTTGAACAAACTAGTGTTCTACGCACAGAATATAAAACGAAAAAGTACGCCATTGTTCTACACGAATATGAAATCTACCAATCACAGCTCATATTTGCTCACCAGACTATTATCTTTTTAAATTTTAAATAAATGTCAATTTTGTTAAACTAATTATATAATAATGTAATCCCTGAAGGTATGTAAATAATTATAACTCTGATTGACCACTTTTTAAATCGGTAAGATCAGTTGCACCTCAAAAACAATAAAACTGATATTTAAATATCCACCTAAATTGTAAAATTTAAATAGTTCAAAGTCTGCGTTGGCTGTTTACATTATTGTTTACCTATACAGGGTGATTCACAAAGAAAAGTTAATATTTTACCTGTAGTGGAAAATGTTAATTTTTGGTTTAATAACTGGGGGTCAAATATTAATATGACATCTACCTCTGAATGAAGTGTCATCATATAGACCTATATTATTGTTACCGATAATATCTAAGCTATTTGAAAAACTACTACTAAAACGTCTAAAACCAATAATTAAAAATAAAAATCTGATTTCTTCGCAACAATTTGGTTTTAGAAACAAACACTCGACAATAGATCAAGTAAACAGGATAGCCGATTTCATCAAAGAAGCTTACGAAGAAAAATATATATGCTCAGCTATATTTCTTGACGTAGCCCAAGCATTTGACAAGGTTTGGCACGCTGGCCTAATACAGAAACCTGAAATAAGGCTCCCTAGACAATATTTCGAGATTCTACAACATATTTAATGGAAAGAATGTTTAGAGTAAAGCAAGACGAGGCATATTCCGATGAAAGAAATTAAAGCAGGTATCCCACAAGGCAGTCTGTTAGGACCGGTTCTTTACTTATTATACATCAGCGATATCCCTCAACAACAATCTGTTAAAATAGCAACATTTGCGGATGACACTGCAATATTGGCAGTTGGCGGAACTAATACAGAGACCTCAAAAAAACTTTAGGAAACCTGTAACAGAATCAATCGATGGACAAAAAAGTGGAAAATAAAAATAAATCAAACTAAATCAGTGCATGTTGATTTTACTCTTCGACTAAATGAACAAAAACAAATAAGAATAAACAATAACGTTATTCCAAATACGGCCAAATACCTAGGTATGAACCTAGATGTACGACTTAAATGGAAAGAGCACATAAAAAAAAGCGTAAAGAACTTGAATTTAAATTCAAAAAAATGTATTGGCTCCTAGGAAAAAAATCCAAATTGTCAGTGCACAACAAACTGCTGATTTATAAACAAATCCTAAAAACAATTTGGATTTATGGCATATAGCTAAGGGGATGTGCCAGCAAGAGTAATATCAACATGATACAAGTTTTCCAAAATAAAGTCCTAAGATGCATTGTTGATTCACCCTGGTTCTACCGAAACGATTATCTTCATAGAGACTTTAAGATGTTAACAATCGAAAAAGAAATAAAGAGGTTTGCTGCGAAACATAAGGGTCGACTCCACTCCCACGTCAACGAAGAAGCGCTGCAATTATTGGACAACTCTACCCTCAACAGAAGGCTCAAAAGTAAGAAGCCATTTGAGCTAGTGCAATGAACGTTAATGCTATAATGTAAAACAGTGTAATAAATCGTCACGCCAACTTGTGATGCTTCCCTAGAGGAACAATTAAGAAAGCCCAATGGGGTCTTCTTAGATAAGTTATTAGTTTATAAGATTTTTAGATTAAAATTGTAGGTTAGTCAGTAATATCTAGTAGCAATACGCGAACAAAAAAAAAAAAGTATTTTGATCGAAAAGCAAAAAAGTTTATTGAACAATTTTGATTTTTCTTATAGATTTTAATTTGATATCGTTTTTGTGTCCGATTTAGGTTTCCTTTTCAATATTTCAACCCCTACTTTTATTCAGATTTTTTTATTTAAATAGCTTCATTTCCTTATAGAGCTTGTTTTTTTTCGCCCCCACTCAACCCCCATTTTTATAAACGTTTTTTTTATTTTTCAGAATCAATAGCTTTCATTCTTTTATAAAGCTTGATTGTGACTAAAAATTTCATATTTATATCGCTTTTCATTTTTTGTTATTAATTTTCGATCTCCCATTTTTATTAAGATTTTTTCAAAATCACTCTCTTCTCTGGAAAATGAAAAAAAAATGTACTGTTTATTTTAATTTTAATTTTATATTACGACCTTACTAAAATGTTTGATACGTCAATGAGCGTGCAAATTTCATTTCGAATTGCATTTATCTCTAATCTTATCTCTTCCTGTTTGCGTCAAATTAGAAACCGACACCAGTGAGAGAATAACATTCGAACAAAAACTTTCATTATTTTAAATTAAAATGAGTGAACAAGAAGAAGTAGTTTTGAGATACATAATCAACATTTTAAACGCGAATCTTCTAGAACCAGTGACGATACTCATCAAAGAGTTGAAAGCTAAAGAACTAGTTGCGAAGCTGCTACCTGAGCTGATCTTCAATAAGTGTTTGTCTGATGATGATTTCATGATATTTGAAATCGGTATCAAATTGTGTCAGAACTTGATTGTTGCAGTGCCGGATCTTCGCGCAACCTTTGAAAAGTTCTGTGAAGAATTATTTCCTATGTTTTGCATTAGGCTTGAACACAGTGTAGGTGGTGAATTTACAAGACACAAAGAAAAGTTCATTAAACTCATTGGTCAGCTTTATGCGTACAACATTTGTTCTAATAGGAGGTATATCAGCGAAGTTGCCATTTTTTTTATGAATCAAGGCGATGAGGTTCACATCGAATATCTACGAAGCTTATGTTTACAACTAGCTCGTTGCCAGAAAGCAGATACATTACATCATAAGGTTCAGAAACGTATGGACAAGATGAAAAATGATAGTACTCTTGACACAAGAATTAGAAACCTAATTGATGAAGCTCTCGTTGCTATTCAGAATAAACCCGTTGCAACACAAAATAAATCCAAGAAATCAACATAAATGATAACTAAAGGTAACAGAAAATAAATATTTTACGCTTTCCAAAGAATTGACATTGACGCAAAAATATCTATGCATTTATCAATTTTAAGTAAATATTTATTGATACCTAATGAAAATAATAATATTGATTGCCTAGTTAATCCGTATTAGGGGCCTTATTTTGACATGCATGTGTACTTGAAATGTTTAATATGGAAATACATAGTTATATAATTACAATACTTATTTGTTCTGAAATATTGTATAAGCTTATGGCTATTTGCAAATATTTTAAAGGGAGGGGGGGTTTACCGCCTAAATACAATCAATAAGTTTGTGACCTATTGCAGATAAATATATCTAATTACTGACATATTTAAATTATGTAAAAGTAGGTATACTTAAAATATTTGCGATAAATTTTTAGTATTCCAAATTTGATTATTTTTACTATGGTGAATCACTGAGAGCTCGCTTATTTTTGTAAAAAGTTCCTTATCATATAATTCTTGTATTTTCTTATATCTGTGATTAAGGGTAGTTAGCGGCCGTATCTCAGACTATATTGAAGAATAATTAAAAAAAAAAACGCAAAAATGTGACGATTTTAATTTCAAGGGGAATATCTTTTACCTCTCTTAAGCTAGCAGGACCAACTGGGCAGAATCGATTAAGATTTATTACATTATTTAGTACCTATTTTCTACTAATTTGTACCACTAATAAAAATTTTGTACCATGTGCCGGTTTAAAAAAAAACGTGGCGCTGCTAGGTTAATATTAAGCTAGCAGGACCACATTAAAAAATAAAATAGAAAATAAAACAAAGGTAGAGTTAAAAAGAACTGAATTTGTACCAATTTGTACCACTAATTAATTTTTTGTACTATGTACTGTTTATAAAAAAAACACATGGTGCTTCTAGTTTAATATTAAGTTAGCAGGACCACATTAAAAAAACAAAATAAAAAATAAAACAAAGGTAGAATTAAAAAGAACTAAATTTGTACCAATTTGTACCACCAATAAATTTTTCGTACTGTGTACCGTTTACAAAAAAAACACATGTGCTTCCAGTTTAATATTAGGCTAGCAGGACCACATTAAAAAGTACAAAGGTAAAATTAAAAGGGCTAATTTTGTACCAATTTGTACCATTATAAAAAACCTAATTTATTTAATCAAACTGCCTGAAACAACTTACAAATTAAGCCAAATCTGTTATAATTAAAAAAAGTGACTTTTTGCAGAAAAATAATCTATTGCTACTTTTGCATAAAACACAACATAGTTTGTACCGTTAAAATATAAATTTTTTCAGAGTATAATATACACCCCTGCCGTTCCTATAGAAACTAACGTAAACTCATATTAGGCTTAAGAGTAAAGTACCCTTTTGCAAGAGCAGAATCAATAGTTACTCCTGCAATTAAAATAACATAATTTGTACCGCTAAAATATACATTTTCGGACTTTGTATCCCTATCGTTCCTATAGAAACTAACGTAAACTTACATTAGATTCATGAGTAAAGTACCCTTTTGCACGAGCAGAATCAATAGTTATTCCTGAAATAACAGTAACATAATTTGTACCACTAAAATATAAAATTTCAGATTTTGTACCCCTGCCGTTCCTATAGTAACTAACCTAAACTCATAGTAGGCTCACGAGTAAAGTACCCTTTTGCACGAGCAGAATCAATTATTACTCCTGCAATGAAAGTATCATAATTTGTTCCTCTAAAATATAAATTTCTAGATTTTGTACCCCTTCCATTCCTATAAAAACTATCCTAAACTGATATTAGGCTTAGAAGTAAAGTTTCTTTTTAAATAAGTAGAATCAAAAAATATTCTCTAAATAAAAGCAACATTAGTTTGTACCGTTAAAATATAAAGTTTCAGAATTTGTACCCCTATCGTTGTTATAGAAACTATCCCGAGGGGTAAACCGCTGGAAAAATGTACACCAGTACACATTGTACCCTAAATAGTATAGAAATAGTATGGAAATATTCTAGAAATAGTACAGAAATAGTAAAGAAATAGTACACAAATAGTTCACATAGAAAACACAAATAGTACACAAATAGTTCACATAGAAAACACAAATAGTACACAAATAGTACACAAATAGTACACAAATAGTACATAAATAGTACATAAATAGTACACAAATAGTACACAAATAGTACACAAATAGTACACAAATAGTACACAAATAGTACACAAATAGTACACAAATAGTACACAAATAGTACACAAATAGTACACAAATAGTACACAAATAGTACTCAAATAGTACACAAATAGTACACAAATAGTACACAAATAGTACACAAATAGTACACAAATAGTACACAAATAGTACACAAATAGTACACAAAAAGTATACAAATAGTACATAAATAGTACACAAATAATACAAAAATAGTACAAAAATAGTACAAAAATAGTACAAAAATAGTACAAAAATAGTACAAAAATAGTACAAAAATAGTACAAAAATAGTACAAAAATAGTACAAAAATAGTACAAAAATAGTACAAAAATAGTACAAAAATAGTACAAAAATAGTACAAAAATAGTACAAAAATAGTACAAAAATAGTACACAAATATTACAGAAATCACAAATAGTAACACAAATAGTACACAAATAGTTCACAAGTAGTACACAAATAATACACAAATAATACACAAATAGTACACATATAGTACACATATAGTACACATATAGTACACATATAGTACACAAATAGTAGACAAATAGTAGACAAATAGTAGACAAATAGTAGACAAATAGTAGACAAATAGTAGACAAATAGTAGACAAATAGTAGACAAATAGTACACAAATAGTACACAAATAGTACACAAATTATACACAAATAGTACAGAAATAAGGCACAAAAAGTACACAAATAATACACAAATAGTACACGAAATACACATAGTACAGATTGCTATTTTTTATATTTTGCAAAGCCTTAAGTAAACGCAAACTATAGTCTAAACAAAGCAATGAATTAACATTCACTAATTTAACATTTATATTGGTCATTTGTTATAATTTAAAAAAGAACTCAGTTGCCGAAAACCATTTAAAATGTGGCAACGTCTGTAAAAAAATCTAATGTGTCCAACACATGACTTTCCTATCTAGTTATTATAAGCTATTTCCGGTTATTTTGTACAACCTATTGCAGCACCTCTATAAATGTTTAGAGGATAAACTAAACATACATTTTTTACATACATCTACCTCAAAACATGTTTCTATAGATATTATTTGAAAACGAAAATACTGAAAAATTTAAATTAAGCACTTTTCCTACAATTTTTCCATTAACGTCCATTTTAGAAAAATCATGTAAAAACAAAAATTATAGAGATCGATATCGCAAACAACTTTTAGTTCAACAATTTTCATAAATATCAGAATTTTGCACATTTTGTCAAATTTTTCGAATACGGACCATTTCCGTAAATTTTGACGTAAAGCAAAAATTATAGATAATAATATTAGAAGTAACTTTCATTGAAACAATTTTCTTCTCCAAACACAAATAACAGATATATTCCATAAAATATAAAAACGGCCTCCCATAAAGTACCCCCCAGATGTTCCGACTTTGTCCAAAATCTAATCTTTTCACGTCAGGCGGAAATAAAAGTTGAGTTTAAAATTTATTGTTTTTTTCTTAATCCGTTTTTGAGTTTTTTTCAAAATTCAAAATTTACACATTTTCTCAAATATCTCGAATACGGTTCATTTTAGAGAAATTATGTATGAAACAAAAGTTATAGAGAATTATATTACAACCAACTTTTATTTAAAAAATATTTATAAAAAATTGTTTCTTTACATTTTGTCAAATTTCTAGAATACGGACCATTTAAAAATTATATATAATAATATTTGAAGTAACTTTTATTTAAAGAATTTTCTTATCGTAAATAACGTAAATAACAGATATATTCCATAAAATATAAAAATGACCACCCATAAAGTACTCCCCCCCAGATGTTCCGGCTCTGCCCAAAATCCAATCAGTTCATTGGACGCTAGAATAAAGCTTAAGTTTAAAATTTGGTTTTTTTTCTGTATATCGGTTCATGAGTTATGGTAGATACACACACACACGCACACACACACACACACACACACACACACACACACACACACATCGCAAAAAGCGATATTAACATGAAATTTTTAGTAAAAAAACATGCTCTATAAGAAGATAAAGCATGTTAATTCTAAAAATCTGAATTAAAATAGGGGGTTTAGGAGGGTTGAAATATAAAATAAATCTAAACTCAAAAACGAAAAGAAGATATCAACTTGAAATGTTTAGCAAAAGAACAAAACATTGATTTTGCAGAAAAATAAGCAGTTTAATGAGGGATGAAATAAAAAAATATATAAATCAACATGATTGAAGGAACTGAAAACAATTGATTCTGAATTCTTCTTATTAGGAATGCAAGACAGAACAACTGAAGATACTCTATATAAAAATAAGATGATTAAACCAAATAGAGGTTGCTAAGATAGAAAATTAAAAAAAAAATATTGACTAAAACCTTTTTATTTCTTAATATGATTTTACTAAAATTAACAAACAATTTAACAATAGTCTGTTAAATAAATTTTGCCAGTGGCTTATGGCGAGGAAAAGTAACACATAAATCCCCTCTAAATTGTACGACACTGTCCAAAAATGTATAAAGACTATAATTTAATTTTTTTCTAATATTTTTTAAATAAATCATGTCCTCTTAAGCCTAATATGATTTCGGAATATTTTTTATAGGAACGGCAGGTATACAAATTCAGAAACTTTTAATTTTAACGGTACAAACTATGTTGCTTTTAATGTAGAAGTAACGATTGATTCTGCTCGTGCAAAAGGATACTTTTCTCTTGAGCATAATATAGGTTCGGGATAGTTTCTATAAGAACGGCATGGGTACAAAATCTGAAAATTTATATTTTAGCGGTACAAATTATG